CCCCAAAACCCCAAAACCCCAAAACCCCAAAACCCCTATATTTTAGTTTAGGATTGAAGATTTAGTTGAGAGAATTATAGTAACCCCACCACCTTACTTAACAACATAACTCCTGCCTAACCCTCCTTGATACTTCCTAAACTGTACATGCTCTAGCCCACATTCCACTTGTAACCCCTTCAAACCTTCCAAAAACCCTCCCTCTTCTTCCTCACCCTTGAACCTGATCGAAGAGAGGGACTCTGAAGCAGCCGATCTAGCGATAAATCTCAGCACAGAGGGCAGGATGTAGGAGCTGAAGGGGCTGGAAGGGGGGTTTGAGTGAGGGTGTTTGAGCTCAAGGACTTTTAAGGTGGTCGTGGAAGTGGGGGTGGAGGTGGTGGGGAGGTAGGGAAGGCCGCATTTGAGGAGGACTAGCTGCTTGAGGTGCGTTGTTTTGGATAGGATTGTGGAGAGTTGTGTTGAGGTGAGGTTGAAGTGGTTGAGGTAGAGGAGATTTAGGGGGTTTTGGAATGTTTTTGAGAGGTTAGTGAATACTTGAGAGGAGATTTTTGAGTGTTTGGAGGATTTTGAGACGATAGAAAGTTTAGAACTATTGCTATGTGTGAAAATCTTCAGAAATTTATAAATTTCTATTTCTCAACCTCTTTCTTCATACAATAAACTCAAACACAGCTCTAAATTTTTGGGGAAGCCAAGCCGGGCAATCTTTTGATATTTTCTGTGCTCTTTTTCTAAGATATTTGATTAAATACTTACTTCTTAAAAATAAAACAGAGGCTGATTTCATAATATTCAGATTAGTATTTTCAAGCTGTGGATAAGCCATAAAAATTGATTCAAACTTTGCATTTAAAGATTCTATCTTTTTATTTTCATTACGATAATCTTTCCAACTTAAAATACCCTCATTAGAAATCACAGAATGAATTTTAGAAAGAACCTCCGCTTCCTTCTTATACAACGCAATCTCTGTTCCCAAAATACTTGAACAAATAACACTCGATGACTCCATTTTAGTGGGACCAAATTTCTTTCTTTTTATTTTCTCAACTATAATATCATCCCCTGGGGTTTTGGGGTTTTGGGGTTTTGGGG